AGTAGTAGTAGTAGTAGTAGCCATAGCAGTAGTAGTAGTAGTAGTAGTAGTAGTAGTGGTAGTAGTAGTAGTAGTAGTAGTAGGAGTAGTAGCAGTAGTAGTATAGTAGTAGTAGTAGTAGTAGTTGTTGTTGTTGTTGTTGTTGTCGTGGTAGTAGTTGGAGTAATGGTAGTAGTAGTAGTAGTAGTAGCAGCAGCAGTAGTAGTAGTAGTACTACTACTACTACTACTACTACTACTGCTACTACTCTACTACTACTACTACCACTACGACTACTACTGCTACTACTACTACTACTACTACTACTACTACTAAGAGTAATAGTAGTGGTAATAATATTAAAAAAGTAATCGTAATGGTAACTAGTTTTGTCACCCACTAGTAGTAGCAGTTGTAGTAGCAGTAGTAGTAGTAGTAGTAGTAGTAGTAGTAGTAGTACTAGCAGCAGCAATGCCTCTAGCACTAGTGGGGGTAGTGCCGATAAACATACAAGTAGTACTTGTCAGTCGTTGTTCTTCGTAAAATTATCAGAAGTAGTAGCAGTTTAGAAGCAGCCACCCGCCCTCCTACCAACTACGCTTGGCGGCGGCCGCTGAACCTGCTCCCCTGAAAGCCGCATCGATTTCGCAGATGCGAGATCACGCACGGAGCAAACAAGACTGCAAAGCCATCGCAACGGCATCTCCTCTGTTCCATCCCAGAAGGGTTTCCGCTGTGGTAGGTACTATGGATTTTACTCTAGCGTGCGCGGTCGATGTTGCGTCCCAACCGTCCTCCCCGTCCCGTGGACACCCCTACCCCGCCAATCCACCGTCCTCTATCCTCCTCAACCCTCATAACCCTCATCTTATACTCAATTCAGACCTTGTTCTTGCACATCCACGGCAAACGGTGCAAAGCAGACGACAAACGGTGCTGAAGCAGAGCCGCTACTCATTCAAAAATCACTGCAATCACGGCATAAAAGACATGACAGTCGCCTACCATCAGATGCGGCCGCAATCCTGCGTAGCTGAAATTTTAAGCTGATCTCAGCTACGTAGGCCTCAGAGCGACTTGTTACCCAAATTTAGCGCTGGCAGACTCAGCTTCATGCGCGCAGGGCTTGGCATGTCGGTGCCGACCCCGTGGCCACAGCGCCTCGTTTGACAATGCGGCGAAGCAACATGTAAAATGGCGCCATGTCACAGGTCAGATTTCAAACGAAAGGCCAAGCTGTTGGGCGGCTTCCTGCTGAATTTCCCTGCCCCTGCGGTCTAGCGGCCCAAAAGCTCCCTGGCCCCAAGTGTAGAGCCCGCCCAGCTGATCCACAGCAGCGGTGTGGGCCTTTTCAGCTCAGGAGAGGTTCTGACCAAGACCTGCAAACTGCAATCTGGCACCCTGATCCCCGGTGCCTCACCAGCAGCGACATACGTGATGTTTACGCCCTGCAAGCTGGTAACCAGCCTGTCGAATGCCAAGGCGGATCGCAGCATCGGGGCTGGGAAGTAGAGCTCGACTATCTTCCCAAAACCGAGGGAGGCCATGGGGTACTGCGAACATCTCCACGACAAGCAGGCTTCACAGACACACACATCACAAAATAATAATAGCCCCGAGTGTCGCGTTCCAGACCGCTTCGGCCAGGGTGCCCCCGTTTGAAGTTTTCTTGCTGCGAACGAACGTCACCCAAGGAATTCTGCATCTTGCAGGTGACACCCCAAATGGTGGAGCTATCAAGCCCTTGTCTTCCAGCAAGGCCTGTAGATGCCCACTGCCATTTGGCACAGCTGCAAGACTAGCGACTAGAGCCTTTTTCTGTTCCGCGTTGGGCTGATTGGTCAGTGCCCTAGCGCCAGAGAGGTGGCCATTCAATCACGCGAAGGGATCCTCGAAGTGCTCATCCACTGGCTGCTCCTTTGAGCTCTCAGCGGGCTCCTCTTTGGGGCCTGGCTGTCGCTCGATCATCTGGCCCAGGTGCCTTGCAACACTTTAACTTGACCGACCCACGCTTGTGAACCCTGAACCCCCGCCCAGCATCTCAATACACCGTAAATCAGTGTATTCTGCAGCTTCGCGGCGAGATCTCGCTGAGCGTCGCCGCTTCCTCTGTTTCGAGCTTCCGCTTGCGGGCAGCATCGCCCTGGGACTACAAAAGCCCGCATGCCATGAGACTCTCGAAACCGCAACTAGTGAACACTAAAGAACAAGGCAAACCCCATTAAGTGAAAGCACTGGCCTTCAGGTGAAGAGAGTTGCTCCAGGTGCGCGCCAACAGTGCCGCCTTCCACAGTTGGAAATTTCAACTGCTGCAAGGTTACACACATGGTTACACTAGACTCACCGGATGGCCCTGCGCCTCCTCTCGGAGCTCGGGATGCTCCGTAGCACGGCTGGCCGCCAAAGGAGCGAGATTCAGCCGAACCACTTGTGAGCGGCTGACGGGCAGCAGCCTTGGAGCAAGAGGCTGCATGAACGAAGCCTTGTCCTCACAAATCATAAAGTCACCGAATATCGGCTTTGTCGACTTCTGAAATCGCAAACTTCCAAACGCCGAGTGTCCGCAGCACCACCAAGCAGGCACGCAGGCACTTGGTATCTTCCTGCTCGGGCTTTGTAGGCTGGTAGATCTGCATCAGTGGAAGGTCGGAGAGAGTAAGTAACAGCTGAAAGTGAACCCCGAATCCCTTTTCCTCGGGTTCTGAAAGCCACGTCTGGAGGAGCTCCAGGCCCCCCAACTCCTCCGAGACCACGGCTCCGCACTATTCCGCAAGGCCCTAACCCAGCCAAGGAGCCACGAAGCGGGAGAGGCGGCCGGAAATCTCTGGATCTGACTGCCGTGCCTAGGACAGGCTGAGCTAAGCCCTCACCCGCCTACGCCTTGAAGCTTGGGAGACTCGGGCCATCTCGGGGCTGTTGAGCGGGTCTGTGTCCCAAAATAAGTGCCATGGCCTTGAAGTCTTGATTTCTCCGCGACCAAGGGATTTGGAAAGCTTCACTTGGTCATACTTGCTACTGTCTGTGTTTCTAGCTCATGACACCTGCTGCCTTACCAAAGCCTGAAGAAGTTTCCTTCAGTCGGGTTTCTCATTCCATGCGGCAGCATTTCAGCGCTGCTCTGCATGCCACCACACTGTCTTGGCACTCAAAATTCAGAACTGTGCTTGCGCACTGCTTGCGAGCAAATGCTCTGGGTTCAGCTCACTGGGCCATCGCTTGGATCATGACTCAAATTGCTTCTGGGCCCCAATGGCATGGTACCCCTGCCCGTAGTTGGGCGGGTGGGTTGGGGTTTGAGTTGGTTGGTTGGTTGGTTGGTTGGTTGAGGCAACAACGGAAACCCTGTTGCCGCCCTCTTCCACCCCCGCATCTCAAGGCAGCTCCGAAAGCGTCACTGCCGCCCTCCGTGGCTCCGATGTGAGACTCCGCGAACACTGCGCTACCTTCCGCATGCAAGTACCTGGGCAGGTCAGAAAGGCGAGCCAGCTAACGGCTGAGGCAACGACGCAAAGAAGGTCGGGCCAGACAAAGGGAAGAGACGAGCTACCGATGTGGAAAGGGGAACAAGGGAGAACTGGGAACGAACACAACCTCAGGGCAGCGATGAGCAGAGAAGGGAAGCCAGGCGAATAGATACAAAAAAAAGGCAGAGCTGAAGTGGGCGTGTACGGAAAAGCGGTGAACTGTGGACCGGCTCGACCCATCCGCGGGTCCCATCGCCCAACATCTCGCACAAATAAGAGAATAAAGAATAAAAATACGAGCACAGTGGACGAGAAAGTGAGCTGTGGAGAGTGTGCCGCAACTAGACACCGTTGCCCGACAGGTAAAAAGGAGAACTGGAGTGGTGGGAAAGGGAGAAGCGGAAA